CTTATTTACATTTATTTTATCTATATTGATTTATATTCATTTTACTTATATTTATTCATATTTATTTTATTTATACTTATCACAATACTTATTTATATTTACATTTTTACCATTGTATTTTTACCGTAGATTTTTTAGCATCATTGTAATACTTTGATATTGGATCGACGTTAATCGGGTTTCTTATCAACAAAGGCGCGGTTACGTTCCGCGACACAACGAATCGATAGAATTCGTGCGGCACGTTTCTAATTAACGGCTTCGTTTCGTGTAATCGATGCGTTTAACGAGCACGAAAGCGCTACCTGGTGTCCGCACGCGAAATGATCGACCGACGCCCGCATTTTATTGCATCGCAAATTCAAGCTTTAAAACAATCCGCTATCTAAACAACGGTTGTTAAAAAACGATACGGTTCGGTTTAATAACGAAACGTTGCTATAAATATCGCTCCGAGCGATGCACATGATTCATTGTGTAAATAACAGTGCAATGTCCACCATCCGCACGAGTGCACAAAATTACACGTTCCATTCTGCACCGGTAGAGAATTTCACGTGACCATGAGAACCACGATATTTATACTTTTCGTTAATTAATTTGTCGCGTCGCAACGCTTCTATCATATTTTCGTACGCTTGATATTCGATTATCTTCATATGAACGTTTCGCTGAAATTTTGTCCTTAATTTTCAGGATCCTAATAAACTAAGGATGTTCCGAATGTGTAAAAAAAATTACGGAAATAATAAATTTGCCAACCAAGAATGTTACGATCAATTTTACCCCATCCCAAAAATATCCCCAACGCAGTCACCAAAGAAAAATGCTGGAAACAGTAGCAGGCTGTTTTAATAACTCATAAAACAAATAACCTTGCCGTACTTCCACGAGCGTGACTCCCGAGACAAAGATTTGTAGCAATAACCTGACGAGTATAAATGTTACTCCGTTCTTTCAAATTGGAATAAAATTCCGTTCTCTCATCATCAATATTTAATCGTTCGAGTAAATGTTGGAACACGATTAATATATATTACTTTCTTCTTTTAAGAAATGATTACAATCAAAAAAATTCTGATCATTATAACTGTGAAGATAGCTTTAATAGTTTTAATAGTTTTAATAGTTTTATATAATAGTTTTAATAGTTCTAAGATATGATTACAATAAAAAAAATTCTAATAATTACAATGATACGGCAAGGAGTTAAAATCGGTAACCCATGCACGTGAAACACTTGCATAAATAGCGATGCAATGCTCCATTCCGCACGAGAGCACAAAAATACGTGCTCCATATTGCATCGACAGAAAATATCGAGTGAAAATGAGAATTACACTTGCTGTAGCATGTTCACTGATGATTTTATTAATTTCCTATGCGACTAAAGAAACTGATTCGGTAATACATTTTACAGTGTACCCTTACATAACCCTTACCGATCGTTGATAAAAAACATAAATCGGAACGCAATGTAAAAATGTTTCTAAATTCTTGAAAAAAAAACATTCAATTAAAGTATTAACTAATTACTACGTAATCGTTAGTTCTGCTTGCTCCTGGTCCATAAAAATATCGTTAATGCAGTCTGCGAAGTAAAAGTTTCGAAAGGTTTTGCAGGACTTAAAAAGTCCTGTGGAATTAAAAACTTTTAAACAATTCAATGATTTGAACAATTGAATTATTGAACGCGATACTACCACTGCGCAGAAAATATTCCGAACAGACAATACTAAAAAAAAATCGTGCACTCCTATTATTGTTAAACTTCAGTTATAATTTCTATAATATTTATGGTCGTTAAAAGCGATAAATTTTCTTATCACACCGAGCAAATAAACGTTTTCACGTGGTTCACTTATATAAATAGCAACGCGGCGTCCGATTTCGCATCAAGTGCAAAAAAGTACACGTTCCATTTTACAACAGCAGAAACTAACAAGCGAGAATGAAAGCTGCAAGATTTGTCCTCGTTGTAGCAGCAGCTGTAATGGTTACGATGTTTTCCTATGTGACCGCTGAAGCTGTGGCGGACCCGGTAATATATTTTATAATATTCGGTTTGCTATAAATTTCATGTTATCTCAATTTTATCGCATTACCTTCCAGAAACCTAATCCTCTAAAGCGAGGTACTGTTTCGTCACTCGTAGGCCGCTAATAATGTTCGAAATAACAATCGAACCAAGCCTATTCTCAATTTGTAAAAAGAATATGGAAATAAAGGGTTAAATAATTAACTTATTTACTAGTTTATTCTTCCACTATCCAGATCCTCGAATGTGTGTGTAAAGCGGTCATCAGAATTCTTATTTTCGACATTTGATTACTTAAAACATTAGATTTGATTAATTGAATTCTAAAGTGCGATGCTGATAAGACACGGCAAATATTTGCAAAAATATATAACAAATTAGCAGAATATAGCAAATTGGCAGAAAAACCGCAATTGTACACAGTGAGTTCAAACTTTTGAAACATGTAAGACTGTGCAGAGGGAGCTAGATTATGGTTGTACCGGCGATAGCAAGAAGCATTATCTATATTATCTGAAGAGGAACGATAAGTTCTCTTGTGGTAATATTTTAACAATTTATATTCCTTCATAAATCTGCCAATAAAAGAAGTAGTAACTGTGGCTATTAAAATTGATAAAATTGTGACAAAACTTCTTTACGTTTCGATAATGTTTCAATAAAATCGATTGTTACGGAAGCTATTATTACCACTATTAAAGAATAATATTCGAAGCACGAGACGACAAGACTGATAGTTGAAGACACCCATCGCTGTATAAATGACAATGCACCGTTTGAATTCGCATAAGTGCACAGTACAATACGTGTTCCAGTTCGGAATAACAAGAAATAACACGCAAC